AAAGCGTCGTGTTGTGCGCTCTGGGATGGGATGGACTGTCAGCTCAAGACAGCCAAACAGTATTGTGACTCCGAAGCCGTCGACAAGTTGAGAGACTTATGGCGAGAGAACACCGAGTCGTGGACCCGAAGTAATGACTGCGAGTATTATTCATTTGAGTATAACTCAGCCAAATGTAAACTAACCGATTGGGCCATCGCTCTCATCGTAATCGCTTCCGTACTACTCTTAGCGCTCATTATTTTTCTTTGCGTTAAATGTATTCAATGCAGAAAACTTCGGAGAAGACAACAAACGTCTATAAAATTCAATTCTGTTAACTATAATAGACCTTAGGTTTCAATTTTAGCAATTTTCATATACAGTATTTGTGACATTAAATCGTTTTAATCATTATTAATTGTCAAACATTATAGTTATTAATTGTTTAGTTAATTTCTCATTATTTTCATATTACTGTTAATTAGTTTTATGTAATTTAATTAAATTTATTTCAATAAAAATCGCTTAATTTTTGGCAAAATATATGATAATATTCATGAAATTTAATCAATTTTATTTCGTTCACCAAATTATCTAAAATTCTGTATTCAGTTTACAGAATTATTCTCACAATAATTGTATATAAATACTGTAATAGCTTTTTACAACCATATCTATAGTAATAGATATGGTTGTAAATAATATAATTAAAATAGATTGTTTAAAAAACTAATTTTAATCTAATCACTAATCAATTGTTCACAACATATGAATTGTGAATCAAGTGTTGTTAAGACATACAATTAGGGTTGGCAATATGACAAACCACGTATTTTACGTACGTAATTTACGTTGTATTTTACAGTGTATTTTACGTACACACATTTTTCATTTTGTAAAATACGTTCTTATAAAAATAATAATCGATTAAAATCAGAAAATCAAAACCAAAATCAATTGTTTTGGGCTCTTTTACAAAATCGAATGACAAATATTGATGCAATTTTTGCCGAAAATCAATGATTGAATCAGCAACTCGTATAAAATATAACTTTCTTATAATCGGGTTTTACTGTATACAAATTTAA